CTGAGGGCCCATGATGAGACCAAATTGCCGGAGGCAGACACCCGCACGGATCTGAGGTTGAGGCAAGCCTACATGAGGCGGGGACTGGCCTTAGAAGTCGCTGATGTCATGAGCTTCACTGCCCATGAGCGCCTGATCGACAAGATGTTCCAGGAGTATCAGCGGGAGGCACCAATGGGCTACATGGCAGTGACGCTGGCCCAAGTGGCGGCCGCAGATCACAGGGCATGGAAGCTGATGTCAGAAGAACTTCAAGGAGACCTCGGCAGAGATGCCACAGGAAGGCGCTTGGCAGATGCCGCCATTGACCGGGTGATAGCAAACCCGGCGTTCATGACCCTGTTGCTGCCATTGCCGGGCAGTAAGAGCAGCACAGGGAAGGAGGAAGCACCGCATGGGGCAGAGCAATCAGCGCCGGGGGCCGGGAAACGGAAGCTGATGAAGGAGAACCTCAAACTGAAAGAGAGGCTGCGCGAGGCGGAGACCAAGAAGACGAAAGCAGCACCGGCCAGTGCAGAGCCGAGCAAGGCAGTGGCACCAAAGAAAATGCCCATCAAGATGCCGAAGGAGCTTTGGGGGTTGTCCCCGATGAAGCACGGAGAGCGCATTGCTATGGCTACCAGCTGGGCAACTGCAACAGCGGCAAAGACGGAAAGTGCTCGAAGGGATTGCATACCTGCATGAAGTGCTGGAAGCAAGGCCATGGCGCCATGCAGTGCACCCAGTGACCTGCAGATGCGGGCGAGGTGCCGACAGTGGCGTGTGACACGCCGGCGCGAGCACAGGAATCAGAGCCCATCAGGAGAGCTGAAGAGGGCTCCGCCCCATGTACAGAAACTTTTCAAGAACCCGGGAGCAATCCCGGCAAGCTGAGTGAAAACGCGGCGGGCGTTGTGCCACGCACGTTTGAGTTGTTTGCCGGGTCATGCAAGTTAAGTAAGTGTTTGAAAGCTCATGGTTTTGCAGCCGTAGGCATAGACCATAAGAAGTGCAAGAACAGAGTTGGACCTTGTATAGTTTTAGACTTGTCACGTAGCAATAGTGCAGGCTTTATTGAGGCTAAAGTGGATGAAGGAGACGTGTTCTTCATACCTATGGCACCGCCGTGTGGTACCAAGAGACAAACCAATACCCGCCTGGCTCCGTCGGCAAGGAGTTCCATCGCCACCACCGCTGAGGAGCGCGCAGTACCCCAGTGGGATTCCAGACCTACACGGAACGGACCTGACCAGGGTGGAGTTAGCAAACGCGTGCTATGCCACAGCAGCACGAGTTTTCAAGTACGGTCACTTCAAGGGAGTCTATGTGTTCATCGAGAATCCAACCAAGAGTTATATGTGGATGGTTCCATGCATTGCGGAGTTGTTCCAGCTTGCAGGTGTGTACTTTACCACATTCCAAGTGTGCATGCATGGAGGAGAGAGGGACCAGAAGACCTCACTCCTCCACAATTGCAAGCAACTGTGTCAGTTGGGGGTGATGTGCGACAAACATCACACACACAGAGGGTGGTCCGTCAGCAAGACACTCAATGGAAAGTGGCAGTACGACACAGCTAGTGAAGCAGAATACCCGTTGCTGTTATGCCAACGCATCGCAGCCATCATCAGTAGGATTGCGTGTGACCGACAACTACCAGTCCACCCTGAGCCTCGGTCCACCCCGCTTGACCACCAGGCATCTACCACCTGGAGGGTGGCAGCTGGCAAGCAGCCCAAGGGGCGACGTGCCCCACCGATGTTGCCGGAGGATGGACAAGTGGTGGACATCATCGTGGACAAACCCCGTGATGTAGCCAAAGTGATGGCCTGGAGTGGCCGATCCAAAGCCACGGTCGCCCTCGCCGACCGTGTTTTCCCAGAAGGCACCAGAATTGTTCATCATTTACCGTCCAATGAGGGGGAAGACCACGGGGACGGGGCGAGCAGGTCAGTAATTTTTGGCATTCCCATGACACCGATGGAGGCAGTCCGGAGAGCCCAGCAGTTGCAACACCCGTTTGACACGGCATTTCAGACGCCAGACCATGTCATCGACAGCATGTTTCAAGTGTTGACCAAAGGCGCCCAAGAAATGCATGAAGAGAGAGTTCGTAGGTTGAAGTGGTTGAAACAGAGTGTGCAAGAACTCGAAACACAAGAGCAAGAGCCTCACGCCAATATGGAGACCAAAGTCGCTGAAGTTCTGGCGCCCAAGAAACTGCTTGCGCTAGCCGAGCTCATCCAGACAGTTGGTTATGGGGATGTTCACCTGGTGGAGGACATGTGTCACGGCATGAGGATCACAGGTGAAGGCAGAGTCACTGGCTGTTTTGCACCCGAATGCAAGCCGCCCATGCTCGACGGGGAAGACCTATGGCGAGCGGCAAAGTCAGCCCAGCAGGAGGTGGCCACCAGAGCCCCGCGACACATGCAGGGCAGGCAGGCGAGTGTCGCTGGAAGCCAAGTTAGTGTTGCACATGAGGTGTGGGGGGCAACCCTGAAGGAGGCGGAGAAGGGATGGTTGTCAGGACCCTTCACTGCAGGCCAAGTGACTGAAGAAGTTGGACCAGTATGGACACCGAGTAGAAGGTTCGGTATAGTTCAGGGAGCCAAGGTGAGGAACATAGACGACCTCAGCGAGTTTGCGGTCAATCAGTGCTATGGCCCAGGTGAAAAGTTGGACCTCGGTGGAGTTGACGAGGTAGTCTCGTTGGCAGCCGCATGGATGAGGACGTTTGGGGGTGCGAGTGACCAAGTTCGGGTCGAGTTGTCCACGGGGCTAGTGCTGGAGGGGCAGAAGGGGGAGGAGTTCAGCGGTAGGTGCCTTGACCTCAAGGCTGCGTACAAGCAGCTGCCATTATCCCCAACCGACCGGAACTGTGCAGTCATTGCAGTCCTAGACCCCCAGAGCAATGAAGTGAGGTACTTTATTTTTTACGTGCTCCCGTTTGGGGCGACGGGGTCTGTGATAGCCTTCAATCGGGCGGCCAGGGCGCTGAAAGAGGTGCTGCAGAGGTTCCTATTGATCCCAGTGATCAACTACTTCGATGACTTCCCGCATGTCGACTTAGAGGTGATGGTAGTGAAGACTCAGGTGGTCATGGAAGAAGCCATGCGCACCTTGGGCTGGGGCATTGCAGAGGAGGCCAAGAAGAGGATCCCGCCGGCTAGAAAGTTTGTGGTCTTGGGGGTGGTGGTAGACTTGAGTCAATCCAGTGATGGAGTGGTGATAGTACGTAACAAAGAGGACAGAGTACAAGAGTTGGAAGCCACCATAGAAGAGATGGAGGCCATTCAGTCCTTCCCGGCAGCCACGGCAGCTAAGGTGTATGGCAGATTGAACTTTGCGGAGGCACAGTGCAGTGGGAGGTGGTTGGCGCCCCTTATGGGCCCCGTGAAGCAGAGGGCGCTGATGAATAGAAGTGTTAAAGGGGTGACGAGTGAGATTCGCAAAGCACTCAGGTTGTCAGCCGACCTGTTGAGGACTGCTCCTCCGAGACGATTGGAGGCGGTGAACAACGAGATGCCGTGCCTGATCTTCACGGACGGGGCGTATGAAGGGGGCACTGCCTCCTGCGGTGCAGTGGTCCTGTCTCCACGGACAGAATCACCACTGGCCTTCGGGTTCAACATTCCCCCAAAGATCGTTGATGAATGGCAAGGGTTTGGGCACGAGCACGTGATTGCACAAGCCGAAATGTTACCCATAGTGATTATCAAGAGGCATTTCCCCCAACTCCTCAGAGGTGCGAGAGTGTTGTACTTCATTGACAACGAAGGTGTCAAGGAGGCATTAGTGGCTGGAGTAACCAAGTCGGAGGCTTGTAGAAAGATGTTGATCGAGGCAATGCTTCAGGACGCTGGCAACAACAGCCTGAATTGGTACACCAGAGTACCATCCCCAAGTAACATCGCTGATGCACCCTCGAGGCTCCGATGGGATTTGCTAGACTCAATGCTCGACTATGTCAAGGTGGAGGTTGACCTGGACTACGAGAGATGGGGGCAAATTCGGGTAGTCTGACATAATTAAAAGTGATAAGTCTGGTCCAATAAGTTTGTTGTACAGAAGTGTAAGGAGTGAATTTTTCAGAGTTTTCCATAACAAATGAACTGGCAGCACAGCTGCACCGTACACGTCCCCAACGTGAGAAAAATAAGAGCTCCTGAGCGGATGAGACTTTCGTATGGTCGAAAGCAATCTGTCACGTAGTGATGATGTATTTTGACAAATAGAAACAGGGAGGAACCATGTGACGTACGGTCGAATCCACGTGCCATTTTGGCTCCAAGTAAGGGGCCCCCCCGCACGCTGTTGTTTTTCACCCACCCTCCTCTCCGGGAAGTCCGGAGTGAGAGTGGGGGGGGCCCACACCGTAGTGGTGTCCCCAAGGCAACGGTGGTCGTTGCAGGGATCAAGTCAGGAAAGAAAGAAGGGGGCAAATTCGGGTAGTCTGACATAATTAAAAGTGATAAGTCTGGTCCAATAAGTTTGTTGTACAGAAGTGTAAGGAGTGAATTTTTCAGAGTTTTCCATACCAAATGAACTGGCAGCACAGCTGCACCGTACACGTCCCCAATGTGAGAAAAATAAGAGCTCCTGAGCGGATGAGACTTTCGTATGGTCGAAAGATATATATATATATATATGTTATATAGCTCTTTAGTTGTTTTAGTGACCCTTTCGCCGGGGTGTCGGTTTGCTAATCCTCGGTGACCATTCAAATTTTCTAGCAAGGGGGTGGTTCCTTCACCCTAACGATGCCACAAAAACACTGTTCATATAATGGTATTTGTACCAATGTTATTGTGAACACTAGTGTAGCCAGTAGCCAGTAGCGCTGCTTCAACACACAAACGTTATTTTTTCCCACTGAGTTGTGTGTTTGTTCTTCTTTCATCATTTTTGCCCGAAATCTGCCGAGGAATGAGTAAAGACAAGGTGTCATTGTTTTTCTTGTCCTCATGACCAGTGTGTGTGTGTGTTCTTTCGCACCGAACAGCGGCCCCAAATCTGAGGAACTACGTGACGGTGTCGCTGGACAAACCCATGGGTTTAGACTTCGTGGAGAACTCGGAGCCTCGGTATTCGAAGTCTTCGGGACGTTGCTTTTGGGTGACCCCAAAACCAGGGCCCTGACCTGTTGTTTTTTGGCACCCTAACAGGTGGTCTCTTGCCACCGTCAGTTTGCCCTCCCACAAGTTGCACTTTGGGAGGGTGGAGTGATGGCAACAGCTTTGCAGAAAGCCTGATTTGCTGCTTGTTGCAGCTCATATAATCCAGTTTCAAGAAAGTTAGACCTTCTTAAAAAAATACAAACATGCAGCTGCCAGCTAAACCAAAAGTGCTAGAATTGTTACACCGTCTTTCAAAATGTACATTTTTGAGAAATACATACTCAATGATAATAATTTCAATTTAATATTTAAAAAGTTACACTTTTACTAAATACATACTCAACTTGAATATCTCCGGGTTGTGATTAATGATGAATAGTACAGTATATGATGAATCAAGTACAGACAGGAGTCTCTGATGAATAGTACAGTATATGCGACTTCCCATGAGTCTCTGACAGGAGACTCTTCTTCATTGCCAGCACAGCATCATCAGTAAGCATGGCTGCGCCCTCAACAAGGTCTGAACAACTCCAAACACGGCTCAGTAGTGGCACCATGTGATCCCCAATGGCTACATGCAACAATCACTGGATTACACAATACATGCTCATGTAACACCATTACATGCTCATGATCTCCGCTCAGAATCCGGGTTTCTCCGCTCAGAGTCCGGGTTTTTCCGGGTCTAGTCCGGGTCAGTATTTTCTCCGGGTCTTAATTTCTATTTCTCCGGGTCACGTGTTACCTAATACATGCTCACCAGTCCAAATACATGCTCAACCCATTTTCTCCTATATCACGTTAATCACGCTCGCATTCTATTTATATCTATATACAATATGGGAAGGTGTTCTTCCATCGGGCTGGCACCATCAAATTCTTGGAGCCTCTCATGTAGACAATGGCCTCCTCCAAGCAAGTCTGCCCGGAGATATTCAAGTATATGACCAACAGTATATGATGAATCAAGTATACTGCAATGCATGTTATGACCAACAGGTTATATTTAATATGTTAATTAATGTTATTTATGCAATTACGCAATACCAACCCTTTTACTCAATACATACTCAAGATTAAAATTTTTATACCAAAAGCAAAAATCAACATTTTTCAAAAAAATGTACTTTTTCGGGTTGTTACGGCTTAGCTGGTGTATATATATATAATATGCATTGCGAAATCGCCTCCAACAACCAGTTAATGCTTGACCGCCCTTGAATTGGTGAGTGGTTGGTCAAGCCATCAGTTTCATGTTCGTGGGACTAGCCTTGTCACCGGGCCTTTTGACCGCCCATGCTTTTCTTCCAGGGTTTGAAGGTTTGTGCTGGAGTGTTTTTCGTTCCCCAAGTTTGGTCATAATATATTTAAAAAAAACTGATATTATGTGATAGAAGCGAAGGGGAAGACGGAGAAGGCTGTTGGAACTATTGGCAATTCGTTTTGTGTGACCAAATGAGGATGAGGAGGGCAATGGTGTCATGATCGACAAGGCCAGGGCAATGGGGCCAGTGTTTCACGTTGACATGGAACTTGGTTGTCCCGGAAAATGCTCAGCATAAAGGGAACCAAAGGGAAGCTCTCCAGTAAATGGATGTTTTGAGGCTGTTCAGTTTGATGTGGTCCAAGAATGACATGTGTGTCTGGAAGAGAAACCTGGCTTGAACACGGCCCAACTGTCCGAGCACAGTGGTTTTTTGTCCTGATGGAAAACCACACCTTCCGGTTGCATGCGGGCATAAGAGGTCAACAGCACGGCCTTGCCAAGAGGCTAAGACTTAAGCCTTTTCCCTGATCCCTGAAGCGTTTTTGCTGCAAGAAGTGTCTATATATATTATATATATACTGGAGGGGCCAGATGTGACCATTAAGACTCTAAGATCAAGCTCAAAGCAACCCACGCTTCCAATTGTTTTTTTACTAGAAACCTGATAGACTATGATCGACTACCAACTGGTATAGCCTGTGATGGTGGCCGAAAGCAATATTGCCCCTTCATGGTGATGTTGATGGTAGCTGGAGACCATACCAATATCGTTGTTCCAACCTCCTAAGTTAACTCCCTTAAATACTCTTGAATATGGTTCCCCACCTGTCAGGTGAGGGTCTCTAGATGTTATGTCAGTCCTTCCCACCGCATTTCCCCCTTCATTCCCGCCTTCGGCCGGACATTGAACGGTTCGGACGGCAGAGTAGTGGGCACTGGACTTGGGCTGCAGAGTGGTCCGCGCTGGAGTTTTTGCGAATACCGCAACATATGCTAGAAAACATGAGATATTAGGATACATGCCAGGACACATATTAGAACAGATGTCGAAACACATGTCAGACATAATGCCAGTCAGAAAAGGCGAGGGAACACATGCCAGAACACACATCAGAACAATGTTTGAACATATGACATATGTCAGAACACATGTCGGAACAAATTGCAGAGTTGATAGCAGAACCGGTGTGAGAATACATGACTGAACAAGTGTCAGAACATGTATCACAACAGAAGTCAAGCCATATGTCACAACACTTTTTTCAGAACGCGTGCAAGATTCGATGCGAAAACACATGTCAGAAGATTTCAGAAATACATGCCAGAAGATATGTCAGAACAAATACCAGACTTGACTGCAAGACACATGAAAAAACATATGTTGGAAGGGATGTAAGAACACATTCCAGCCTTGATGCTGGATGATGCGCCCGAAGACCTACCAGACTTGATGAAAGAACATACGTGAGAACATGTCAGAACATTGTGTCAGTGCACATGCAAGGCAGCAGCGTTTGTCAGGACGGTGTGTCAATATGCCCTGAAACAGAGCCGGAAAACCTCCGTTTGGACCTGTCTTGTAGATTCTCTTACCCAGACACGAGCCGTCTGGGACTGCCATAGGACTGCCGCCCCAGACAGACCCCCCTGGCACCACCCCTGGCCGTTTCTCGGCATATATAGCAGTCCCAGACGGGTCGTGTCTGGGTGATGTTCAAGTCGTTTCAGGATTTCGGACCGGTGTTCCAGACCTATAGGTGGCAGCCAGCTCCCACGCTGACGCCACCGGCCTTCTCAGGGCGGGGAAGCCTTCTCTTTGAGGGCCGCTGAGGATGGGAGGTTGGGGGAGGAGAGTAATCTAACCAGCCCTGCAAGTCCTGCAGGAAGGTCCGGAACTCATATTTTGGGGGTGCACCAGGATTGGGAGGTCCTTTGTTTTGTGTGGTGAACATGGGCTGAAGAACGAGTTGAATCCTCTCGCCACCGGTCCACCGGTTGTGGTGTTCAGGCCTTGGCCGGTGCGTCACGCGACGCTTCCGAAACCTCCTGGTCGCTTGTTGGACGTCCTGATGTCTCCTTTGAGACAGGATCAGTGGGTGACTACTCGGTGTATCATTGTATGCGGATTACTAACAACCAACCAAAACCATGGTTTTATGAGCCCACCTATCCTTTCAGCCTAGGCGGGCTACCATTTGATCTTCGTGAATGGGAAGCCATGACCTGAGCAATTTGATCGACGAAGCGCGGCTCCGCAGAGTGATTGGCCCCTAGCCCACTGCATTTTGCCCTGTTAGGGTTTAGGCCAGTGTATGACCACCAAAAATTCAAATCCACTTCTCGGATGTTTTGAAACACGTGAATGCGAACCTGCAGGTCCCTTGTTTTCGCAGGTTCCAGATTTGCCGGATGTCTTTCCTCAACCATCCTAATTAGATTTGCCAAAGGAAAGAACTGAAAGGCCATGTATTCAAACCAGAAGCGTCCGCACTGTGAGGCCTGTGCATGGCCTCTCCTTTGATGAGGCCATCGAGCCCATTGTGGAGGCTGAAGGACAGGTGGTCGCTGGTGATGGTCTGTGGTGGGTCGTTTTCCTTCGGTGTTCCCTGAGTTGGAAGATTCTGATAGGTCAAGGTCAAGGCGAGAAAACATAAGATTTGCTTCCGCACAGACGCTCAAACACCTTGAGTTATTGGGGTGTGCTTTGAGGTCCAAGCAAACAATAGGCCTTCAATAGGCATTTGAGAGACCCAAGGGTTGCTTGCAGTGTTGAGACGGGGTTGAATACTGTTACCAGATTGAAGACTTTCAACTTTCAAGGTCCACGTTGATGAAACAAAGAGAGTGCCCTTCTCTCCCTTAAACTGACATAAAACAAGCTAGTGGACAAATAGGGGACTGGGGAAGTCATCATTTTTTGAACACATTTTGAGCACTTCGCCAGTCGGTCGCTGGGATTCAAGTTCTTCAAGCCTGTGGGTGGTTGGAGGGTGCCATCGGAAGAACAATGGGTTTCTCTCCTGGGTCAGAATATATTCTTGATATCGACCTTGTCCTATCTCAGGTGTCCTGGTCCATTCCAAAAAAGATCAAAAAAGAGTCTGTAAAAGCACATCTCATGTGTATCCAGTATATAAGACTATACGCATAAGTCTAAGAATGCTTGGATTTTGATGTCACGTGTGTGCATGGTCCTCGCCCCATGGCCCCATGGTGGAAGCTTCCATAATTATGATTGATTCAAGGGTTCTCGTGTGGGTGGCATCTCATTTCCTGACCCAGACAGCCCAGACACCATGTATGGAATATTATGGCACAAACTATATACCTACATTGACCCCTCTTCCACCACCCCAACGGATCAGTCAATCTTTGGGTGATTTTTTTCGGGACTTGCCTCACTCGCCTCCAATTCCCAGGAAAAGTCCAGTTGACCTTCTTCACTGGAGAGGCCGAGTACTTCTACGGCGAGTGGAAGCAGCGGAGCCGAGCCAAGGGAGCCGGGGGAGGGATGAGTTGCGAAGAACAGAGGACCTCGCAGCAAAGATCTCCTCAACAGTTTTGTTGTGTTTGGCCATGTCACCGCGTGTTCCCTTTAGACCCTGGCCCTGCCTATGAAGTATCAGAATTTCAGTTTCTTCCGTCATGCACTCCTCAACTCAATTCGACCGAAATACCAAATTCGTGGGAGCCGTGGGTCGACTCCAGCGGGAAGGACGATGGCCATGCGAAGGGCAAAGTGGTGACCTGGAACCTGCCATGAGTTCAATGCTGCTGCGTCAAAGCAAAAGCATCGTGATTCAAACAGATGTAATCCCGTCCACCCATTAATAAACACGGCCCCCCCCTATTAAAAAGAACTCGGTCGCAATTTTTTCTAATAGGGGGTCCCTGAAATCGGGGGGTCCAAAATAGGGTCACCTGGACCAAAAAGTCATCCAGAAAAGTTCTATATAAAATCCTTTATGAAACTCGTATCAACAATTCAAAAAACTTCCAGATCGAAGGGTCTTCCTTTTCCCCTACAAAAACCTTTATTAGAATACTAATTCTTCATTAGACTAACAACCAAAGCTTTCGACAGGTGATGTCGCTGTGCCATGCGGTTTTGCACGACCTCGAAGGCAAGTGCGTTTGCGTGAGTCCATGCCATTGGAGGAAGGAAAACCGGCTGGTGTAAACGCGGCGTGTCACGAGGGAGTTTTGGGGGAACCTAATAAAAATCTACCCCCAAAATCGACCATGTTGGTAGGTTAGTAGCGGTTTGAAAGGGCGGTAGTTTAAAACCAAATATAAACCCAATTTAGGGGTTCGGACGTTGTGTGTTTATTAATAGGTACTCGGGATTAGAGAATTGCCAGAATTTGTTGCTGGAAGTGAGTGTGAAGCTATTGTATGTTTGTTTCAATGCTTTTTCAGAGGGGAAGGGCCTGAAAGGGGGGCACAGCTAAGCAAACATATCCGCACATACATATCCACAAAAACACACAGCAGATTCTGTGACTCAAGCACGGTGCCATCCCATCCACGCTTTTGTTGGGTTGACTGAGATCCCCACCAGAGGAGGTTCGTAAGCAAGTACTGTACATGGTGGGCCGCTAGGCCGACTACATGTGTTGGGACACACATACACACCCGCCACGCTTTTTGTAGCACATCAACTTGAATCAACATCATCAGAAACCGATGATGCAATCGCCTTGAATTTACACATCTTGTACCTTGTCCCCCCCCCACTTCTTGAACCCATGGTAATAGGTATGAACATCTCGATGACAGATGGGCATCCATCGCCAAAGATTGTTTTGACAAGATGTGAATCTCTAATTACAGCTAGGGGTACAAGATGACATGACCCCCATACCACCACCTATTTACATATGGAATTTTCTGGGTTCCATTCCAATGCATTTGAGCTCGAAAAAGCCGCGCAAAGCCGCACCCGCTTTGGCCAAGGCCTGAAGAGGATTGGCTGGAGCAGTTCCGGCAGAAGATCATGTCCGGGAGACCCAGAGGACGCTTGGCGTCCTGCCCCCAGTGTTAAGGACGTCGATCGACCGGGGCCTGCGAGTCCAATCTATGAAGTGACGAACAGACTTAGTAGCTTCTTGTTACTACTAGCGATGGCCTCCAACCTAATAGCGATGGCCTCCACCTGGTAGCTTCTTGCTACTAGTAGCTTCAATATTAATATAGTGGGGCTTGTCCACTTCCATGATCGTTGCAGGGAGAGTATCTATGATTCTTGTCATGCATGAGAATTGAGGACATGCTCATTACCCAGTATCGAAGAGACTTCTTCGGATCTTGTTTCGACCAAGGTCCGGATCGGCGCCGGAGGATGAAGAGCAGTAGGCCGGAGGACTCTTCATTGTGGCTGTGGTTTAGTGAAGCAGTAGTAGTGCATGGAGCAAGACAGTGCTACAATTACGGTCTTCACGAAAGGTAGCCCTTTAGGAGATACCTTGAGTTTGACTTGCGAAGCAAGTGTCGGCGAGTCCGGGTCTAATAATTGATCATTCAATTCAACCCCCCCCCCCTGAATTGATTTTTAAATACAAACCCCCCCCCCCCCCCCCCCCTCTAAAGTTCAGGATAGTTGAAACCCTCTTGATTTCAGGATAGTTGAAACCCTCTTGAACATTCAGAAAGAGTCAATATGAAATTCTAATCACGAAAGGTGTTCCCCGAGGGGATACATACCTAGAGTTTGTTTTGTGAAGCACGTCAATTCTCTCCTGGGGAGCGTCTTCGTGAGCCTCTTATGGTTTCAGGATAGTTCAAATCCTATGATGTTCCGATTCAATGCAAATCCTATGATGTTCCGATTCAATGCTCACCGATGATCTGAGCCATGGGGCAAGTTTGTTTTCCTAAGAATCTTTTTGAACATTTCGAGAGCATATGTTTGAACATTTAGAGTGCATATGAACATATATTTACGAAAGGTCGCCTCCGAGGGGATAAATCACCATGTCGAACATTGCATTTTTGTTCCTGCCTCTCGCGTTCTCTTCTCTTCCCGCTGTCCTACCTTTCGTGTCTCCCTCCTCTCAAGTGAAAGACTCCCTGAGGATCCCTCTTCAGGGGCCCCAACCACCGGCTTGCAAAACAGGGCAGTTTTGTGCCACAAGACTGTCAAGCACGTTGTCTTAAGCATACTTCTGTCACGCATCGGTGTGACGGAGACCACGCAGGATCAGAGACTACGCCCACCGCCGGCCATCGCAAAAAGCGGCGCACCGAGCGAGCGCCGCTTGCGCGGCGCAGCGACGCGCGCGCGCGCGCCGATCGCAGCAGAATCGAGGTGTGTGTGTGTGTGTGTGTTTTTGTTGAGGCAATGTTTGTATACACAACATATCAGCTCAGATGGGTTCATGAACGTGAAACAGCGCCGAAGCTTGGCTCAGCCGGTGGGTGCGAGAGACCCCCTGCTGGGCTTTCGATCGATGGAGAAGTACGACAGCTTTTGGGAGTTTTGGCTCATTGGGCCCGGGGGAGTACGTGTCGAGTGGTTCACGGGCGGCACGGAGGGTTTTTGCCGGTTGAAGTGCTTCATGCTCACTAGTGGATGTAGTGGTTCATACTCGAGAGCCATGAATGCAAAGATGAATCAGAATGAACTGCTAGATTGGCCTCTCAGACAGACATTTTGTGGGTGACGGCCAGATGGATGATGACCCTTTTTGCCCGGCCTTTTCTGAGTCGGCTGACTAAGTCCATTTTTGTTTAGAATTGGGAAGCGCTGGATAATGCTGGATATGATGGTAATTGATGGTACCCCAGTAGATCCAATAGAAAACATGAGGTTCAAAACAATTGAACATTGACCTGCGTGCCGTATCCATGTGAGCAACTGCCAAAACCTCCGATGAAGGCAGCATCACTACAATGAATGAAGACTAAGTACAGTAAGTAAAGTGAGGGAAACCTTCAGGAACGATAAGGTTCACAACAAAAAAGACAAGGCTTTCCTACATGGTGCTAGGTGTGTCCAAACCCTCAGGAACGATAAGGTCCACAGAAAAAAACAGCAGATCACGTTGGGAAGAGTGCACACTACAACACCCATACACTCCATGTATGCCATATATGCCTACATTGACCCCCCAAACCACCCCAATGTAGGCATATATCATATATGGCATACATGGAGCGTCTGGGACACATAAGATCACACAAGAGGTTTAACGTCGCTCATGTATTATTCGGAGTGGATCACTGCAGAAAACCGTGCTGTCCTTGCAGACACTTCATGAGTCTGGTCGCCTCATGAAGGATGGTAGAGGCACGTGCTTTGAATGCCCTTCAAAGCTCTTGGCTCAAGTCCCAAAGACTATCTCGCCAGGGCCATATCAAAAGAAAACACCCACCCGGGATTTGTTCACCAACAGTCCTGAGTGTTGGTTTTTCCATGTTTTTTTCATTGCTTCTCGTGACAGTCGACTCCTTAAGGACCTCCACCGGCGCTTGGCCGACTGCTACATCGCGGATGTGGCGCCACTCGGCGATGTTCTAAGGGGGGCCGAAGCGCAGGGCTGAGGCGGAGGGGTGGTACAAAGTGAAAGCTACACGGACGCGGCCAGTCCCCTGTTTGTAGATCCCCTGTTTGTAGAGGAAATGGTCTTTCCAGGGGCCATGCCATCCACTTCCTCAATTGTTGGAGGGAGGATAGACCATCATCAACACCTTCACACCCGCAAAAGTGAGCGTAGCATGCCCGAGGGGGGGTGCAAATTGGACTGAAGGCTAAGTAGTGTTTGGTTCAGGGTCAAGTCAGTTTGTTTGATGTTTGGTGGATCCCCAGGTGGGGTGCTGGGCGGCCATGGCCTCAATGGCAAGCCTCATGTATACCAAGGCGAGGCGGCCATTCCCCAGCCACGCGTGTGATGCCCGCGCCTCCCAGTGCCTCGGGCGGCTGAAACTCGCACGACGTCCGTGGGTGCCCGTTGACTGGACCCTCAACACCGCTCCGCACCACTCTGAGCCAACTCTGAAGCCAACCTTTTGCGAATGGCATGCGTCTTTTTTGCGGGGTGTCACCCTTTTTTTGCTTGTTTGCAGCAAACAGACCGACTCTTGATGAAATAAAGACTCCCCAGAATGAAGAGGCTTTTTCATGCTCCCAATTTGTGGGTCATGTTGCCACCTACATTCAAGTATGTACAGTAGCTTGGAGAGTGTATGTGGAAAGCGATCTTGAGACCCCCCAAGGTTTGGAATCCAACCAGGAATCCACATATCGTCTGGCTGCGAGGCACCCCCAAAACATCCCAAAACCATGGAGAAAAACACACGTGCCGCACACATCATAGTTACGTCAAAACAAAGAACATTCCAGCGTATGAGGTCAATTCATCGTATACAGACCAAGTCTCTGTCGACACTTCTGTGTGGCCACCGCTCTGAGGCACGGCTGTCATCCCTCCGCCGCAAAACAATATGGTGGTGCAGTTCAGCATGCCACGCAACAGCCATCAAAGTGCCACTCGATGGGTCATTTTTGAAGACAAAGGTGCAGAACCGGAAGGAGATCGGTTAAACAACGCGGAATCTTAAAAGGGAGGGTGATGTCCTTGGCGCGCAACCATGGTAGGTTTGACGGTGTCTCATTTAGGATAGGGATGCGTGTCACGTGTATATAATGTGCAGGAAAAAGTAATCCTTGGATGGTAAAGGTGCTATGGTCCTTTTTGGGGTTTGTTCTGCTGAGATCAGTGGCTAGCCAATCCTGGCTCTCTCAGCCACCATTTGTTTTGCTTGAAGTGCTTCAATATGTGTTTTGTGCGTGTGTGATTGTAGGAAGAATGTACATGTTTGATCACTTTCGCACTGTACCGAGCATCCAATCAGGAGAATCAGAGAACGTGCAAGCGCTCTTTCATGGTTGGAATATCTTGGGGGTGTCGTTTTCTGTTCATTCAAGCTTGAAGGGGCTGGGAGATGTTTGCTTGGCAAGATGTGCACAGAAGCCCATCTATTGAGTCCGGTGTCCAGGGCAGAGTCCATTGAGCCGGCCCGGCCCCTGGAAGTCTCGTACAATGCTTCACTTGCTCGGCTTGCTTCGCTTCAGGTGATCAGTAATGGTGATGCTTCTTCCTACATCTACGGCCCCAATGGGCATGAGGCGCACGAGATGAGTCGCGGTGGTGGGCGCTCTCCTCTCTCTCTCTACTAGTTATATCTCTTTTCATGTCATGGGGAGGGACATGATAGTAATAGTTTAAAAAAATGATCTGCAAGTGGCTACGGTTCAGCTGCTTCAACTGCTGTTTTAGTTGGCAACGGCTCGCAAGCTGGTTGCCTCTCACGAAATTCTGCTATGGACGCCTCCATCGGAGAACACTAGCCAGGTAAGTTTCAACTGCTCTGACCGCTTCGACTAGGTGATCCCGTGCAAGTACAGTTCCAGCCCTAAATCATCCGTGCCAACCAAACCTACCCATTGCTTTACAATGTATCACTTCAGCAACTTTGATCATGTCTGTATATTTATTTCATTTTGATCCAAATGCATGTCCTCAAAACCAACTTTATCATGAATGATCTTGATGAGTCCCGCACCCTCCGACCGTGTCTCCACCGCTCAGACCGCGCAGACCCAGGCGGCGCGGCGCCCGTCCTTGGGCGGTGCTGTCGAGCCGCCGCGGAGCGGCAGCCTCCGCAGCTCGGCGTTGCTGTCGATGGTGCCGAAGGCCAGCGCTGCGAGCTCACAGATGAGGCGTATGCAGCGCGGGGGCTGGGCTGGAGGGCCGCGGAAGGAGCTGCGGATCGAGGGCAGCTGGGCGGAGCGAGAAACACCTGTGAGGAACAGTGTGAGTTCATTAGGAGCCATGTTCGCTACTTGGAGCAAGCGCATCGCTACGAAGAACCGGCATCGCTACGAGCGGAGCGATCGGACGCTACGAACGGGTGGAGGTGGGTGTGTGTTCGGCTTGAACCAACGCCCACATCGATCACGCAGTCCGGAGACTCCACCCAGGAAGGAGGTGAAGGGAGATCATGGGAGATCTTCGTTCTTCTGTTGGCTTGCCTTTTTGGCCACGTTGCTCAGATTTGTGTTGCTCCACCATCCACTAGAGCGAGTACAATAGGAAAGCAACCAAAATTGCCCCAAATAAGCAGAAAACGTCAGCAACCCCAGAAGAAAAAGTCCAACACAATCCAACACATGATCATACCATGCAAATGCACATGTTCTGTGACCTCACAAAACGCTTGTCACTGTCGAATCCTCGCACGTCGCAGATCAGAAGCACGCAGGCGGGACGAATCCTTTGCCTCGGATGACTCCCATGATCAAAAGGATGATTCCAAGCGGGGCTTCGACCAGGCGACGAGAGCAGCATTTTTTGTCTAAAGAAAAAGTCTTACTAGGAACAAGGACGATATACTAGGTGGATGCCATCGCTATTGGGTTGGACGCCATCACTACTAGGAGCAAGAATTGAAAGTACACGCATAGAAAAAGCACCAGGGAAATGTATCCTTTCGTTTCTCTATACTAGGATGCGGCCTTCGACTGGGCGATTTCCCGTGTTACGTTTCTTTTTTTGTTCGGGCGATACTGATTGGCATAAACACCATCCAGTCATTTGATGTCATTTGTCAGGTACTGTGAAGACCGGGGTACCTATATCCCAGCATGAGTCACATGAGTCACCATCCCACCATTCGCGGGATTCCTGCAAGCACATCCAGTCGACATGAGTTAAATTGGGGAGCAGCGACATGCAACATTATAGTAGACTCAGTAGACGATCTATCAATGAGAGGTTTCTTGTTTACTTATGCTCCTCCCATTTCTAGCAACATCTGGCAATAGAACAGTTGTAATTGTAATACAAGTCCCAGTGCCTATAAATTCTGCCAGATTGATACATTGAACGGCATTAAAACTTGCCTGTTGGACATGGTTTAATACTATGCAGTGTGCTTTTGGATGCTCCTCACACGTGTAAATCAGGAGAAAGCCGACTAAGCCGACACAACAGCTTGAACGGCTGACGACATGTTGCTTAGCCACCAGCGCCATTTGGGCAGGTTTGACACGGCATGCCACGTCTTTCTTTGTTTCGTTTCACCTGTTCCAAGTCGAGACTTCGTTGCCCCACCGATGCGGAACCAACGACGTGAGGTGGTGCCCCACCAAGACACTGCCCGGGCCAAAGCTTCGTTGCACCAACGACGGAGGAGTTGCCACGGTTGCACCATGTTGCACCGTTGACAAGGTGTTGTTTTCCAATTATAGTTGAGGAAGTAGTTTGGTACATTTTGGTACTATATAATACAAATTAAAACATAATCTAATATACTGTATGGATATTCTATGATATTCTATATAGTAACCGGCAGGTGATTGTTTGCCGTTGGGGCGGGGGCTTGTCGTATTCCGAAGCTCACTGGTCACTGGACATGACCTATTGTTCCTATTGATGTCTAAAATGAATCACGACATGATGACATGCTGAATGTTCGAAGGAGCCTCACAGCATCATCTAAAGAACCTGTTGGTTTTGGGCAGGGTCTGAGCTTGACTGCTTGGGTTGGAGAGGAGCACAGTGGAATGCCTGATGAACTTGCACGGGCAGGATGATGATGCTATGATGAACTCAGGCAGATGGCTTTCTCGGAAGTTGACTAGTAGGTACGGGTCGGACATGGCAATGGGTGAAAGCGGTGGCCCTGGTATGCTCTGGTTGACCCCCCGCCAAACCTCTGCCAAATTAGCAAGGTCCTCTTCCAGGGTGTCAACCTGCCATGGTTTTGGGGTTCCTCGCACCATTTTGCGTGTGCGTTCGCGCTCACTCTACGCATCCCTTGCCCATGGCGGGTGTGGTAATGTGCTTGATTGATCAAATGTAGGAGATCCAAAGTCATATATCATCTCCAACCTTCGCACCTTGTGGCCCAAAACCCAAGCACCTCGGCTAGGAACTCACCTGCCTCACACACCAAACTAGCGCCTTTTTTTCGAGAATTCACGTTCGCTTGTGGCGCTTCTTGAGACCTCACCGTGTGCAAGCGATCGCATACATGGTAGACGATTGATAACATATCAACCCCTCCTGCCAGAATGGAAGGTTTTACACATGTGTTACATCGATCTTCATGCAGGGGGGGTTATTGGTCAATAGTCTGATGCAGTACATTGTGCCACCACCCCCAAAACCATATCTTGCGATGCAACGGTGCTTCTGGTGGGTAGCTTTGAGCATGCTGCGCGTTCTCATCAAGTTGAGTGATTTCACCCCCCAAGTCTCATGGTTCTAGCAACGAGAAGCCCTGTGATGAAGTACTCAATACTCGTTATCAACAAGTTACATCCTAACTGTCTACTCTTGATGGTTTGATGGACCAACTGCAATGGCCGCGCTTAACTTGGCAACTGGCACATCCGCCGACCATGGCAGCCTTAACCATGACAGCCACAGATGTGGAGCCGACGAGTCATCAACATTCGAGGATCGATGTCGCACGGTCTACACGAACGCCATCGCACGGTGATGACGTCCTCCCACGCTCCGAAGCCTCACCCTGTGTTCATGGCGCCGATGCAAACATCTTGCGCCAGGGGATGATTTGGATATCACACGGATCGAATTGAAGCCGCATGAGTTCTGGGTGCGCGCCTTTCAAGGCCTGCTCGGGCCGGCCTGCTCGGGGCTCCGGGTCTTCGTGTTTGAGTTTGTTCGATCGGACACGGGACGTACGAGCCGTACATCGAGCCATATTGTAAGTAGGGTGTTTGGCTGTTGGGTCACAGGTGTTGCCGAGTAGTGCCAATCTTGCAACTGTTTCAATGAATGGAATATAATGAAATAGTAGTTTGTTTTTTGAAGAAACAACAACAATTCCTTTTGTGGTGAATATTTGGTCCTTCATCACGGTTGAGAACCAGCCCAGTCATGTACTCCTGCTTGAGTCCTATGGAGATTGAAGGCAGGCAGCGCACATTGAATTCTTCAGGGGGACCTCTCAAAATTAATACTGTTGGCTCTTCAATGATCTTTATAGTGGTTTAAATGCCTGGCTGCCTGGACCTTCAATTGATACCATAATGTTGGGTAGAAGTTCTTTTGGTACGAATTCTAAAGTTGACTGAATTGCGTAAAAATGGCATGGGCAAGCCAAGCCACATGATATGTTGTATCAAATGAAGTCCTTTGTCACCTCTCATAGACCCATAGTGTGCTGCTTCAATACACAAAAAAGAAAAGAAGGAAGGTCCCCCCCAAAAGTGTCCGCTCCTTTGGGGTAGTGCTCGTTTGGTGTCGGGTATTTGCACTCAAATTAGTCATTGTTTCATATTAAGTTTACCAATTGCAGGGTGGCTGTTCAAGTACCCTAACTGTTATATCCCTACCACTGAAGGCCTGTCACCCCTCCAGCGTGCATGCTTCTCTTATCACCAACAGCCCCAAGTTCAAAAGTTAGCTCGAATCTCTGATCATAGGTACGAGGTCACAAAAGCAGGTACAAAATGCCCAAGGGGCCCAAGGGGCAAAGAGTCTGGGCACGTTTGAAGGTTTACGATTTGGTTCGTTCTGGTTTTGCATGGTTTTGCAGTTTCGGTTGGAAGACGTACGGTAAAAGATTTGTCGCAACACCTCATGAGCCACTTGTGCCACTGGTTGGGCTTTAGGCAAAGAGGCCTGAGAAGTAGGAAGACCTTTAGTACGGACCACAAACTGAGCTTTCCAGAAGACTTTGGGCCTTGCATGAGTCAATTTTATATCCCAAAGCTGCGAGTTGGTGTAGTGGCCACAGGCCAGAATGATCATGATCTTCAATCCAAAGGAAGATTCGACACCTGGTTGACTTGTTCCCCTCTTGCCCAGGTCATGATGTAACGGCAGCCATGCGTCGCCTGAATCAGGTACCTCGGCCGGCATCACTTCAGAACACCCCAGCATCGCCACAGGTTTGGTCCGAAATGGCCAGTGGGTAGCGCCTCTCCCTTGAGATGTTGGACAGTAGCGCCTCTCTCTTTGGGATACTCGTCCGTGCGCCAACGGAGCATCTGGGCGATGGCCCGGTGTGATCCTCGCGATCGATCCATCGCGGGTGTCCGCGATGTCCACTCAATACATGTCATTTCACTTGCTTTCGGGGGCAAAACACGGTTTCATACGGTTTCTAATATATATATATATGTATTTACATGGTTCTACATGTTACTATCAGTTTTCGGGTCAACCAAAACATGGGGTGTTGGATTTCGCGTTGATCTCCGTCCCCTTTTCGGACAAGGAGACATCCGGCCGCCCTCGTTCGAAGTCGGACAAGGAGCGAATGGCCTACGGTGGCGACGAGGACAAAACCTTGGACAGCGAAATGCCGCTGGAGAGGCCAGGGAGCCCTCTCTCGGCGATGAGACTCGGGGATGTCACAAGCATCTCTCTTGGACGAGACTGATCCGCTCAGTGGAGCACGTTTTCAGAGTAGAAGGACACAGATGTTTGTGGCCTTGATCCCCTTTGTTGTCAGTTATCTTCATGGAACATGTTTGAGATGGATTTGCACATGAATCGCAATCAACGTCACAGAACCAGGATGGTGTGTCGTTGGAGTGTTTGTTTCTCGACGTGCCACATGATCCAGTAGTTCCAAACTCCACGGATAAGGACCGAATAGTAAAGTAAGGTTTTTCATGGTCTCTGTAGCTCAAAACATTATCCTCTAGAAGCAAATTGGTTTCCTGTCCTGCTGTGGTGGCGACAATGGACAAGTTGTCAATCATTTTGAACACCATTAACTAAGGGTATGATAGGATATGCATGGTTATGTATGTAATATAAATATAGTTATATTAATATATAATATGTTGAATGCATGGTAAATGAGCATGGGAAACAAAATCAGCTCTTGCGTTCCCTGCTAGTGGGACAATGTTGAATATTCATTAAGTATCCTTTTATACTGTGCAAGAGCTCGTCACGTCCATCAGGGTAGGTCTTTTGTCCACACCCTGGCAGGACCGCTACAATGATCCATCCGGGCGGCACTTTTCGCATGGTTTGGAACATCTTGGTGGCACTCTGCTTGGTGCATGACGCTGAATCAAAAGTGTGAAAAGCAATTGAAAGCATCAAAAGGACTAATTGGGTAAAAGAGATGTCATTAAAAGTCAGGTTGAGCTGGATGAGAGGAGCGATACCATCCATCCTCCGATGTGACTGGGGGCACGTGCGATTCCAAGGACTTGGTTGTGATCCCTCTCTATGTCTTCGACATCCCAGACTCTGCGGCCCGATGATCGCGGAAGAGTTTCTTCTTGCACGTCGTTGTTTTTTTCTCGCTAGGCCCCGGCACAGAAAACAATAAAGACATGTCATAAGATATCATGATTAGATGGTAATTTGTGTGCGTTTTTCTCAGACAGACTGTGTGACAGAACAGGAAAAGAACCGTCATATTGTGGCGGAGTAACGAGAGTGACGGGCGTGGAGACCCCAGGACTCACCTGCGGTGGTAGTTCGTCCAGGTTCCATTGACCGGGGGCGTCCAGTGAATCGCCATGTCATGCCCAGTGAATCGTTGTTCTGCTCATTGTTTCCCTACATTTGAGGTCATGGACGTGACATGAAGTCAAGATGGGTAGGTTTTTTTCATGGGAAGGGTCGGAAGGGTAGTATACTATATACAAGCTGTATACATGCAGTGCACCCTTGAAGGGAGCAGCCCACCCGTGGTGCTTCGTGGTGCTTCGTGGTGAGTGATGGAGCCACGCGCCCCGGGTCCATGGAGCCAATCCATCCGTCGCAACAGGCTGAAGCCACAAGCTCCAAAGCAGCCACAGATGGAAGGGGTGTCCTCTACACATCACTCAAGTGTCAGAAGGGAAGCGTCATCACCTGAGGCAGTCTTGATCACCTTGGAGTGGTGCACCCAGCTCTTCTGGAATTTTGATATTCTCCTCTCCATGCATACAGGACGCTTGGACTCCAAATCAGGACGCTACTGTATCGCTGCTTTTGGGGTTCGATGCTGGGGTAGGTGGGCTTCGACGTCGAGAACTCCGTGACGCTGAGGATACTACTACAAAGGTCTCCTCATCATGAGTGCGCGGAAAGTGTTCCGCAACTATGTACGCACGTGGCTTGGCGCAGTGAGGGGTTCGAAGAATGAAGACAAATATATGTTTGTTAGATTTACCATGTGTAACTATACTGTAGCTTGGCCTCCCAAACGTGCTGCTATATATTCCATGAAACACACATTCAATCAATCCAACATTCGCTACATTTTGGCAACACATCCAAACATGTTCTTGCTTTTGCAATGTTCATCCTATGCAGCCACCAACAACTCCAAGCACATTCAATTTGAGCCACAATATTTCTTCTTCCAGTTCTTCCTCACCACCTTTGTGTGGTAGCTCTTAAAAGGTTCCTTGCGCAGGCGCTCGCGTAGCCAAGAAATGTTATCCCTGTGTAGGCTGTCGTGTATGCACCCCAAAACTGTATGCCCCTCAAGCAAGCAAAAATAACAACTCATTTGTAGGTCGTAGGCGTAGGCTAAGTTAATTATAGGTCATCAGGACTGCTCCCCTGAACTTGTATGATGGCTTTATATATCTGATATCTCAAGAGAGGAACCCCTCCAAACAGAATCAAATCTGAAGAAGGAGAGGTCCATCTTTGCTTGGAATCATCCCGACAAGCACTTTTCTTCAGAGAGCTTAGATCACCTCTTCAGAGTGTTCTTAGCGCGAATTTCCCACTCACCCGATCACGGCTGAGGTGGATGGCCTTAGATGTGACGTTGGTGTCGCTGGATTGGATCTTCGTCATCTTGGAAGTCTCCGGCATTCAGATCACCTCAGCCGCTTGGCGCGGAGTGTTTCGGCCGGGTGAGGCCGGCGCTGAGCTTCGGTATTTCGATCAGCCCTTTGGAAGTGCATGGGTGTTATATGCAACATACTGTACAGCCTCGGACATCTATTAAATGCAGAAAAGATCAGAAAAGTATGTTTTTATACCTGAATGGTTTGTCACGTTCCCTTTCCATAAACCATCTCCGAATTGCATTCAAAATATGTTCACATTACGTTCATATTGGGTTCAATTACGTTCAAGTTGTGCGCAAGAAGCTATACTGTACTTCATACAGGAGATTGTCCAGGACATAATTCCTGTCCAATCTTACAATCGTTTGCTTGTGTTCATGTTAGAAGAGTTGTCCCAGGTGTTCAAAAGCATTTCATGCAAATGAGAACCAGGGGTAGGGTGCCAATCTGGTGATGTTCCTTTGATTCGTCCAGGAATGCATGGAGATACCTTAATTACTGTAGGAGGACCATCAGAGGCCATTTATATTCATTTGGCCAAGGAAAATCTTGTCATGCTAGGAGCTGAAGTGCATTGGCACCTGTTCAAACCAGGTTTCAAAAGCCAATGTCTCAGCTTTTGGCACTCCGCAATCACCATGCCTTGTTTCTTCACAACAACTTGGTAGGATTTTCTTTGGGATTCGCTTCACTTCACCGGTTCACCGTCGCCCCTTGTTCTTTCGGTGCACCGAGCTGATGACAATGGTGAGCCTCCACGTCTCCACAGGTGGCGCAGCTCTCAAGGACGATCCGGTTCTTACGTTTTCTCAGGCTCTCGGGGGGGGGGGGCACCGGCTCAGTCGACTGGTGGGGAAGGCACTGCATGGTGTGGTTCTGGTCGACTGGTCCACCCGCAGACGACCATGGACCCTGACTGGTCGTCTTTGTGGACGACCAGAGTCCTTCGGAACCGTTTTGAGCCCAGATGCTGTGGGGATAGCGATGGCCTACAACCTAGTGGGGATCGCCTCCAACCTAGTAGCCATAACCTCCAAATCAATCCAAATCATAGATCCCCGTTTGTACGGCCAGTTTTTTTGTCCTGTAACTGGACATCCATTTTTCATAAGGTGTTCGAGGCCTATGTTAAAAACAATAAGGATTTTATGTTGAACCAAGGACAGGATCCAATAGCAAAATAACAAAGGATGAACAGGATTTCATACAAGCTATATATATATATTTACAGGAATTTATAAAACCACCATTTCAGGATTTCCAGGAAACCAAATAAACTGGAACACTGAATAATTTAAAAAAATAAAAAAAAAAAAAACACCATCGTTCAGGAAAATATACTGGCACACCAGACGGCGGGACATGTTCACATACTGATTCTGCCATGTCTCTTCCCCTATGCTTCCTCCTTCTAATTATTCTAAGTCGCCTAATCTGCAATGATTTCGTTGATCCCGATTTTCCTGAATGTACCTTATCCTCGGAATGCACATCCATCTAAGCCCTCTAGCATCCTCTAGCATTGATTTTTTAACAAACTGTCCACAGAGACAATTGCGGCCTTTATGATATTCACGTCTTCATCCTCGTCCTACACATCCTGCAAGCAAAGGCAACAGAAAAACATTCAGAAGATGAATGTCATCCCCAAGTCATTCACACCGTTTCATTCACTGTGCTGGTATTCCTATTGTTTGGAACTGGTATACCACAGCCTCAAGGATATCAATGGTTATCTATGGTATATCTTCATAATTCTCAAAAATCATATAAACGAAATCCTATGGAACAAGACTGAAATGGAATAGACGTTTCTCTTCAAGAAGTCTCAGTGTTTAAAAACCTTTAGCATGTTCTCTTCGATTTGGCCTTGAGAGATCACAGAAAAATATAAATACTGGTTGGACACTTCCTAGGAAAATGCTCTCGGTTATTGTTTTTGATGGTTTTAAGTAGACTGAAACATGAGGATTCTATAGCATGTTTGGTCCTTAAAAACGCCACTTGTCGTCTAGGATAATATAAACGGAGACCGTTAGCTCTGACTATTATGTGTGTTTCGGTTGACGGGTTTTATAAATTACATTAGGAGACCGTGCCCGACTCCAACCTGTCGTACAGACGGGGATCTCATGTTCGCCGTGCGGCCTTCTTGCCACCGAGTCGCGGACCAGGCTGGTGCGCATCTTGCGCTGGGTGAAGCTCCGTCGTATGGCCGTGCCTTGGAGAGTGGCCGAGGTTGGATTCGGGGCGGCCGGGACCAGGGACGGAATTTATGTAATATAATGTATATATGCGTTTCATATGATCTTGTCTTGACTCGATGAGAAGAAATGGCTGTTTATTTTTCTCCTGAACTCCTGAACTCCTTTTTTTTTTCTGAGAACCAAAGGAAGCTTACATCCATGAACAGCTGTTACATGGGTCCACTTTCAATCGTCTATATTCTATATTGTATATTGAGTCAACCTCCGAGTGGGTGTCCAATCGCCGCAAGCCTGTTATCCTCCGATGTTGCTCGTGTCCGCGCTTGTCGATGATTTGTCAGGGTTTTGCACACCTCGGTGACATGAATCTACAGCAATTGTATGCATTTGCCATCCAGAACATCGGACGGTCTCTTGATGTTTTAGATTAACATCACTTTGTTTTGTTTTGGCGCCGGCTGAGGAAATGTTTCAAGAGCTGATTCAGTCACAATCTGCCGGTCACTTGGATTCTCACCTCAGTGCTGAAGCTGAGTCCATGTCCAGCTACTCCAGGCTGATTGCCAGCAAATTGCCTATTTCCTTTCCACCTGCCATTAGTCAGTTTGGGCGATTTGACTTACTATACTGTGCGTTCAATGGCGAATTCGCCACAATGGACACATGATGATGGCATGGTTTTTGATCCTCAAACTTCAAATATGGTTCCAAGGTGGTGCTTTCTCATCGGCACAGTTTTCTCCACTTTCAGGTTGTTTACTCATATCCTGGGTGTTCGCAGTGTTCTCATATCTTGATCCCAGAATGTCCAATATGGCGCTGATGGACATCAGAAACTTTGCGTGGTTTGGGGAGCCAGGTCTCTTCTATCCGGTTCCTTTCGGAAACCTGCGAACGAGAGCAGATTTAGATAAACAGTATATTTGATACCACACACACTGAATCAGACTGATATTAGTATTTCGGACTATTCTTCGTTTGCGCAAGAATTTGATTATACAAAGTGTGCAAAAGCACCTTGCAAGAGCTTGCAAGTCACAGTCCACGCCAGTCATTCATGGCTCCAACCTAGTAGCGGCGCGATGGCCTCCACCCTAGTAGCTACTTGCTCCTAGTAGTACGGCCAGGAGCCCCGTTCGTAGCGTTCGATCGCTCCGTTCGTAGCGATGCCCTTTGCTCCTAGTAGCTTCTTGTTCCTAGTAGTAAGGCACTCTGTTACTAGAAGCGATGCACTTGCTCCTAGTAGCTTCTTGCTCCTACCAATGCGGAGGCATGTATTGGAGCTTGGTCTTCGGCATAGCGCGCTTACTCATCCTCAACCATTTGGTCGCGTGTGCCTGGTGTCTCGGACGATGGGGTTGTGACGACCAAAGACGAGGAGCCAAAGAGGAGAAACAAATGATGACGGGGATGACGCGTTGTTTCTCATTGTTTTTCTCTGAGTGTATTGAGCTTTGATGTTTTTGATTGATGGTTGGGTTCTTGCAGTAGATACTGTACCTGGAACAAGTTTGAAATCTCATGATCGAACTCGACGCCAGAGGGTGTCCTTTGTTCCTTCGCAGAACACCGGAGATTGGCGAACCTGTGGATCCAGAAGCGCTCTGGATGGGTCACAGGTGGGTCACATTGGGTCACATTGGGTCACAGGTGTACAGCGCCTTCTTTGAGACTGGCCAGACACGGCCATTGGAATGGCATGAAGCCAGATTTAGTTTTGAGCACCTTCCTTGATGATCTTGATTGCAAAAGGCAGAGGATTCGATTTCTTCCTTCGAACCCGAGGATTCGTTGAGCGAAGAAGCACTCTTTTCATGCACAACCAGAAGCTGCCTTTGTCGAATCTCTCACGGTGTGTGTGTGCGTCTGTGTCTGAGAGTGACAACCAATGGGTTCCAATCTCCAACAGGCAAACGGCCCAGACCTCCTGCAGATGTCTGCCCCCAAGACCCCATGTCGAACCCTAAAAGCACCGCTGCCACGGGCTGCCACGCCAAGCATGTCTCACCGTGGAGGTCCGGACGCACCGCTTCGGACGCGTCCGAAGGTTTGGACTCAGCCGGATTCAGGGAGAGGTGAATTGGGTCGAAGCTCATGGCTTGACAGACACTTGGCCTGGCTTGGCGTTCTTCTTTCGTCAGCATGAGCCACGCGCCAATCGAGATCGAGCCACACCAAACATGTTGTTCATGTCGAACAGGGAAACCGGACCTGTTTACTCATACTTTTATTGCGAAAGGTTATGACAGAAACTCATACATCATCATACATCCGGGTTATTTGGAAGGATCCGAGGAAAATATTGTTTTGGTATGTTTGACCACGGTTCATCTGGAGATGTTCATCAAAACGATTTCGGCTGGTGAACATGTTGTCACTGAAAGCTGAAAGCTTCAACAAAATGTATGCGAACACGAAAGCTGAGTTGCCAAAATCTTTCCAAAGGGAGATGACAAAACACCGGAAGGCCATCGATTCGATGTAGATCCAGCCAGCCTTTTTCCTGGGGTAGCCAGGCCGAGGGTGATTGGATGGCCGGTCCAGCAGCGATGTGAGGACAAGAGCTCCTTGCACAAGTATTGGACCTGCTTGACCCTTGGCCACAGGCAGACTCAGGACCTGCCTCCACCCGCCTGGGCACCGGGGATTTGTTCTTGAATCCCTTCAACGCATGTGTTGAACATAGTTGAAACATTTGCATGTCTCTATTGGGGCTCGTGTGTTCATCCGATTTTCGGTGAAAAAGCCGTGGATGATCGTGGATGGACCAAACTGTGCAATGGAGTAGATTTGCAATGCTTCCTAATTTTTTGATATTGGTATGAGACTGTGTGAGCACATATTTCCAGATGTTCCAATCTTGTAGTCATGATGCACAGGCAACTGGAGTTCTACACTGTACATATTTGCATATTACCATATATTACCCATTGATCTGGGCGTGTCCTTGACAGGTGATGCGACCCAAACAATGCCTCGTTTTCGTGCCGTGCGCTAGTAGAGGAGTTGCAAGCACATCATCTCCTATTAACAAGTCCAGGAGATAATGAGAAGAACATATTGCACTTGTCTAAGATGATCTAAGGTGCATGTTCCAATATTCTAAACAACCCTGCCTCCTCCTGTTCACCTGTATGAACCGGATCGAACAGGACAGGACTAAGCACACTCAGCCAAGGAATTGGGCCTTTGCTCAGTTGGGCGTTGGCTTGTCAGACATCACCCCCAGGAACAGCTCCCGTTTCATTTGCTTCTCCGTGCAGCGTTGTTTGCAGTGGCCCGCGGGGGTGCGGATAGGTTGGAACATGACAGAGAGCAAGAATTTTCAGAAGTCACAACGATGAGTCGTTCTCCTGAAGGTCTCAATTTCGGGGCAGCCAAACAGGACATTAATCAGGTGGATTTGTACCTGGCAAATGCTCTTTGATATGTATTGATTTATATTGCGTGGCCTTCCATTAGAGTAATTGGACGCAGAGTGTGTAGGCCAGCTCAAGGTCAAGCCAAAGTCAATAACGTGTGTAGGGAATTGCTTTGACCTTGGCCACTGTTGGGCTCTCCAGAACGTTTTGTTCTACTCATTCAGCTTGTGCCATCACGTTGCTGCAGCCCGACAAAAAGTGGCTTTTGTCCTCCTGCCCCTGGCGAAGCGATACCGTGACTGGATGACCAATTGATTTGTCCACGTGGTTTGTTTTCAATCAAACATAATATGCAGTACACAGATGTACACAGCACTAGTGCAGATTTGATCAGTTGATAGATTATGATAGATTTTATGTTTCAAGGGTTGCTACATATGACTATTTGTCATTTGTTCCGCACTTCTGTTGGACACCTTTCAACCCATCTAAACCCTAAACACCTTCTTCACACCTTCTCTTGAAGACCGAGGCCACGAAACGCTCGTCGCTCCCCCAACTCGTCGCTCGCTCGTGGGTAGCTCGCTCCAGGACGACCACCGAGACCTTCTTCTCGGTGTTGATCGCCTTCAGGCGACGAGACCGACTCGCCTTCGGTGTCCGTGTCGTCTCCGCCGTATTCGCGCCTTCTGCCGACATGCACAGAAACTGGGTGCGAAATTCCAATGTAAAATTCAGAACATCCATGGCCGAATGAGTTGCGCTTGCCACCTTTCGTGGCAAGCGCCGGCACACTTGATGGGTTTGGGCTTCGCTGATCAGTATATTCTGTCAGTGCGAATTCTGGTCAGTTTGGCCAGTGCATCACGCAGTACGCACTTCGGGCTCAAATCTATAATTGCAAATGAAGATAGACCTACCATGACCTACCCAATCACAGGCTGAACAGGTTATTTTGGAGTGGTGTGCCTACTGTATATGAACCAGAAGGAAGACATGTAAATACTGAAACCCTTGACTTGCCAGGCCCATGGAAACTCAGATGCGGCCATGGATTTTCTCATTTTCTATGATTTTCTCTATGTAAAAAGTGGATTTGTATTATGTACATCTCCGGTAACTCCATGCAGGATACGAACCTCAACACCCCTTAGAAGCCTTTCTTTGGAGACCGGCACTCTTGCGGACACGAGCGTCACGCGCGTCACGCAGGGGGGGCGCCTGCAGGTCTCTGATCACGTGCACGACGTTGATCAGTCGCATGACATCTTTGATGACTGCCTTGATCAAGACCAAGGAAGACGAGGCTGAAAGAGACTGACATCGACAGGATGGTGTGGTTCTCGAGTCGCTTGGACCTGGACCTGGGCGTCCAGACATTGTCTTCAATGTCTCACACAGAGTCGACCACTGAAGAACGTCACGCATCACCCCAACACTGATGGTATATGTATATATATATATATTGTATAATACCAATATATATATATGGATAATACCAACCTCCCCCTGATTTTGAGATGGAGTCGAGTGTGGGGACTTTGCCAAGCTCAGCTTTCTTTGTTGGCCCTATAGTCCTATAACTAGTTTTTTGGCATAGTGTGGGATGGGTTCAGATGGTCTTCAGCACCGTGGCAGTCTCACAGATGTTGAACCGTGCCGCTGTTGCAACGGATGAAGCTGTTCGGATGACACTTTGCAAGCTTGAGAGATGCCTTCTCTTTTGTAACGTTTATTTTTTTCCGCAGGTGTTCATCCATGCTTTGTTTTTGTTTCTTCTCCTGAAGGACCTTGACTCTCACATTGACATGTCTCACCGAGTTCCATGCTTCCTGATGCCAGGAACGGGAGTTTCGCTTGCTGCGGAGCTATTTGGTCTACAATGAGATTCCACACAGCCTGGGGCAGAAGGTGACTCGAGACTCGGCTCGGACAGGCCGGACGGCCGGACAGCGGTGGGACAAGCGGATGTGCCTGAAACCTCGACCAGTGGAGGATCGGATGGTAAGGATGTGCCGACCCCCAAAGTGGCTACATGTGCACATGTGGCGTCTGCCAAAAGGCGAAAGCCAAACGAAACCACATAAAAACACTCCAGCATGGCGGTCAATGATTGCAAGAAGGAGTGTGGTCTCGTCGTGTCCGGAACCAGATCAATCCTCCAAAGGTAAAAGGAATCCCAGCAGGCCTAGGTTGTGGTTGTCGCTCCTGCTGTTGCTGGTCCATGGTTGGGTGGGTGGGTGAGTGGTTGGGTGGATTGTGGTTTATACTTGTCGTGCTTCATACTTTATATATATATTGATTGGTTTATATATATATATATACTATATACAATATACTTGTTGTTTTCTTTTCTTCCAGGTTTTGGTTTCAACTGGGCGGTTCAAAACTTGGTGATATGAACCTCTCCACCAACGATTTGCCTATGGTCATGAGTTCCAATTTGCTTTCAAGCAGAACTCGCTCGGCGGTGCGGTGATGGATCTCAGCCGGATATCCGAGGATTCTTGCAGCACCAGTTCAATCTCCGGGTACAAGCAAAGTCGGCCGATGTCCATGTGCCACTCCTGGAAGCTCGGGCCCGCGATCGGCGAAGCGAGCGAAGCGAGGCACGCAGGGAAACGCAGGCGCAGGAGCACCCGTGTGCGGACACTTTCAAGAGAGCAAAAGGATGAGATCACAGGATTTGATCCAAGAAATTGAGAGGTTCATTAAGTTCAGTATGTTCAATACTCTTAGAAATGTGGAAGAAGATCTCCCCTTCACCTCAGCAGAGGTCAATTGGACCCCAACAGAGGTTTAAGCTGTTTATCCACATAGGACCATCAAATGCCAGCTTTTTCATGGCCCTCCCAAAGCACCGAGAACGCACTCGACATCGACTGCACGTCCGGGCCGTTCTAAGGAATTGCTCTCACATCGACTGCAGGGAGAGTTGCAGTTCGCCCGGCATCAGAAATCCCTCTACCAACTGGAGTTCCTGGTGCCTCGCGTAGAAGAGACAAAACATTTAGGAACATGACCTGAAACATGCTGAAGAGCCTGTCAATGGGTTTGCACTCTGTGATCTATCTTTAGTGCAAGATGTTTCCTTCATTTTTCTTCAAACGACTTGCCTGGCTTTCCATCATCAGGAACATCCAAACTGGAGACTCCTATTTCATCCTATTTCAGGAAGTGGTACCACGTATCTCCTCATGTGAAACTTCATGTCAAGATGCTCGTGATGTCTAGTTTATCCAACACCACCTCGTTTGCCTTCTGACCCAAAACGGGCAGCATCTCCAAAAGCCAAAAGTTTCTGGACCCCGACTCGAGAATAACACCATGGAACTCGATCAACAGCGCCAGTTCAGGAGGGGAAATAAGAACAACGAAAACATGTAGGACTGTAGGACTAACATCAACATGTGCGATACCCCCCAAACGCCATGCCGAATCAAAGGGCTGGCAGGGGGTCCAATTTTGAAACACAGGGATAGATCACAGATCATCGTATGCTATGGAATCACCACACATTATACAATATGAGGAGGTTTTGTTGAAGGAAAAAGGGTGGATCACCGGATCAGAGTGTTTTTTGACTAGCTTTTGGGAACATTTCAGCTTCAAGCAAGGACCACTTGATGCACGAGAAGGACCTCCAAATTGTGATTTGGCTCGAGCTTGAGGGGATGCTTTTGGGTTGGTGGGAGTTGACGAAGTCTAGAAATTAGCGGAAGTTTAATCCCACCTCCAGAAAGGAACCCCAATAGGCCCCCCAGAGAGGGCCATGTTGAAGGCTTGGATGATCCCTTCCGCATGAGCTTACGTAATTTCTCATTTCAATCCTAAAACCAACCGTTTGAACCTTTGAAGCGAAATCCTTGGCCAAGGCCAAGATTGGATAAGATGGGTGTATTTTCTTGCTTAAAAGTGGTAGTGCATGGTTAGCATATGTTAGCATGATTGAATCTGTTGCATGTGTGGCTTTTCTTGATCGGTTGAGGACTTACTGTATCTCAAATTTTGCAAGTCGGACAACCACTTTCCTCCCGGAGTTCTTGGCAGTAAGGAAAGATGGATGAAATAGCAACATTGCCATGGTTGGAGCATGCAAAGCCAGATGTATCCAAGTTTCTTGCTATATTGTTTACAAGAGGTATGGAAGCATGAGGTGCAAATACCTTTCTCAAGAAGGATGCCCACTCATTTGGTTCTTCGAGTGGATGTGCACAAGAAAGTCACTCATCGCTGATCCATGCGCTGTCGCTGTCTCAGGTCCATGCCATGCAGGACATCTCCATGAAGGCCCTGATAAGCGTGCCTGTGGCGGCCAAAGACATCATATTCCTGGGAGGTGCGGCATCCGGGCGAGGCGGTCGTACTAAGTGGGCTGTGGTGGAAGATGGTTTGATCCCGGTGATTCTGGAAGTGAAGATTGGCGTGTATGAGGACTTCACGATTTAGAGTAATTATATAGTGAGTAGTGTAGTCCCATGCACTTCCTGAAGAAATTGCATCAATAATCACCAACAAGGTCTTAGAAGACCACAATTGAAGTTGTTGGCAAGTTTGGGCACGGTCCGACTCTATGTTGTTGACCATTGTTAAAGCTGTCTCGACCGTTGAATCATGGGTTTGCAGAGTAGACGGCAGAACCCTTAAACAAATTGCTAAAAGGGGGATCTACATGGATGCGTAGTGAAATAGGAACCCCCTTCAGTTTGACCCTTGGACCAATTGGAATAGGTAACATTTATATATGCCAGGTATAACAACCCCTTGGGCGAGGGGGTTCTCATTTGAATCCAAACCCATATTCCGAAAAACAACCACTTCTCGGACGGCTCGGCCTGCCATGGCTTGCCCAGTCAAGCGATGTAGAACTGGAGATTGATGGTGATGCCGATGCCCAGATAAGACATGTGTGATCCTCCTGCAATTAAAATGTGCAAACCAGAGGAAGCGGCGGAGGCAGTATCCTAAGTGTGGAGTTCAAGAAGGGAATCTTGATGTTTCTTGTGGAACACAGGTGGTAACTGATACTAGAGCAGCTGCCAGGGAACCTGGCCGGGAAGTCCTATTTGATTCTCACTGGCGAGTTCGCGTACTACCACGAGAAGGGGAAGGCCTGCAGAACCGCTGAACTGCAGATCTGTGAAAGGGGAGGTTGACCTGGCAAAGGAGACGAAAAGGCATGGCATGTTCAGTGCAGACGATTAATGATTAAGATTGTTGTGAAAACAACAGAGGACTCTTTGCAAAGAGGTCTTGGGCAGGAGGGTGATGTGAGGGATTGGCTATGGCTAGGATAATTACTCAGCCATTAAATACCTGCAAGCCAAGAGGCTTGATCTACTGTGTTTCCCTATACATCTAGCAACCAAATGAATAGTGCGAGCGCTTCTTCAAGGAAGCTCCCCCCGCCCTCAGCCGGCCGGAGTAGCTTCCTTGAAGAAGCGTGAGCGATCCTGCGTTCTAGGTAGCTCAAAGAGAACCTCGACTGACCAGCCTTCTTTCACGACTGATCAAAAGACCTGCTTTCCTCCGATCAGGTGACGTTGGACAATGATGCGGGCTGGATCGCAGAGATGCCCGGCAACGAACAAGATGACGTGACTCTCAAGTCTTAAGGCCAAAGATAAGGCTAATAACTATAACAATTAATTGCATATCAGAACTCTATATTTATGGCTGTGGATCAAAACCTTGATACCTTGGCTGACCTTAACGGAAGGTCAAGCTACATGGTGTTGGGGCTCCAGGTGTTGACCCATCATTGGAAAACATATATCCAACCGGCTGAGTTCCTGCAGGTCGCATGGTAGTCTTCAGGAAACGCACGCTGGTTGTCATGACTTGAGGCTACATGGCCCCATCAACAAAAGCTTCCAGTGAGAATGCCTGGATGTTGTGGGTTCTCTTCCGTATCTCTTTGGGGCTGGTCTCTTCGTGTTTTTGGACAAGACAAAACTATCGTGTGTATATATATATATATATCAACGTTTATCAACATCTATATATATATATCAACGTAGCATATAGTAGCTCTTTGATGCTTGGTTCCTGTTAGAACACCCATGAATATTTCAGGATCGCTCAGCTCGGCTCCTCGTGCAAGGATGGACATGCCCTGATTCGGATCTTACACTCCCTGGAATAGTCATGGAAGTGGACAATGGCCTCTTGGATGGCTCTTTTCCGAATACCAAACAGGTGGTTTCATTCTTCCATGATTATTTCAGGGAGTGTACAACTCATCACCTTGGAATGACAGGGAAGAACAACACTTGGAGATGATAGAGCGATCACCCTATTTATCAAAGAATGTTCCTTGCCCAAGCAAGGGAAGGATTCAGCATGTTGCCGGAAGCGCATGATACATACATACATACATACATGCATACATACATACATACATACATACCATACCATACCATACCATACATTACATACATTACATACATTACATACATTACATACATTACA